TTTTTATTAACAAATTGATAACCATTAGTTAAAAATGCAAAATATTATAGTTAATGTTATGGAAGTCATTTCTAATTAGGGCAAAAGCGAATTTACTTTTCGGATCGAAGTTAGACATCTACTATATATAATAAATCATTGTGAATATCGTCAGTTCGGGCAAAGTTAATTTTAGAATTAACCAATGATATATTAAAAATATCTATATTGTTATTCTTAATATTGTTGGAATTAACGCACGTACCTTTCGGACCACGAGTATTACCGAGAAATTCTTGTTTTCTTAATTTCTTTAGGCTAAACTGACCAATTTCTGACCACGTCCTAGTTCTGGCCAATATTCAAAAGCACTAAAATTTTTAATGAAGAGTGGGATTGTTCTGTCTGAAATAAAAAAATTATTAATTTAAAATATACGAAGACTTCCCGATACTTGAAATATTTGATAAATTTTTGTTCTCCGTCTAACTCAATATTTGGTATTTTCAAAGTTCATATGATACATTCAAATTCTAAAACGTTTTTAAATCGCTCTAATTGCAAGTAATATTGGAAAATAATATTGTTATACTGTACCCGGTGGAAGTTCGGCTAGCGAATAGCTAGCTAGAATCGTAACGATGAAGACAGTAATTTGGCCACGAGGATCGCCATCTTTTTTAAGTCAGCGAAAAGCTATCGATATTTGTAAATATAAAGACTGCGATTTCGTTACGAGGACAGCTAGCTTATTAAGCTAAAGACCCACTGGCTATTGTAGCTAGCGTCATATCGTAATAAAATCACTGCTAGATATTTTGTAGCTAGCTACAAAGCTACGATATGTAGCTAGCGACACATTGCTATAAAATCGTATCATCAAAATAATATCATCACGCATGATTAAATCTGTGGCGCAAAACAATAATATTAATAATTTTCTTTCCTTAATTTTAAAGTAGTTTTTTTAACAAATCTTTTAACAGATTCTTCAATTCTTTTTTTGTAACGAGATATTTTAATGTTTTCAGAGTTTTATCAATAGAAAAACCAACCTTATTACAAAAATATGGTGAATTACTATTCATATCTAAATCAGTTGTTTTATTGACAATATGTCAGTGTAAAACAGAATTAGACTTGCCATGTTTATCAGCAGCTTATCTTATTTTCAAAACAAAATAATTTTAAAAGTTTCAAAAATACGAAGCTGATATATAAAGCTTCAAACCTAATTTTCCCATTATGCCCCACTGTCCCAATATGTCCTGCTCAACCCTATGACTAAATTAGCTTTTTTATAGATTGTGTTGATCAAAATAAATACTGTCCTGATTGGGCAAAGGCTGGCTATTGCTCTACAAATCAAGCCACTGCTGAGCTTTGCAAATTAAGTTGTAAATCTCCATCTTGTCAAGTCACAGGTACTTGTTTTAACAAAAAATTGTTTTTTAGATTTATTTCTTACATAGTTTTTTTAAAATATACGATGAAATACATTTTTAGCTAGTTATTGTGTTGACCAACGAACTGAATGTCCAGAATGGAAATCATGGGGCCACTGCACACTGAGTACGTTTGTAGCAATCGCATGCCCATTAAGTTGTGACCCAAAATGCAAAGGTATACTTTTTATTTGAAAAAATTTTCCGATAAATGTGCTGTTGAAATGTTTAGTTACAGAAATATTTTACTAAAAATTGAATAAATCGCTTGTTAGAGCAAATAATTAACTTTTTTTAAAGCTTTTTAGCTTGTTAGAGCAAATAATTAACTTTTTTTTGAGCTTTACGAAAATTCTAAAAATAAAACAATTAAATTTAGATTATTATTACTAGTATTTTAATTTTTTTTTTGTAATTACAATTTTGAAAATTTAATTACAGCAATTAATTAAACATACGCAGATTTTTTTCATTCTATTTTTTGTCACTTTCTTCTTTTTAAATAGATGTAGCAAATTTTTTTTCCTTTAGCTACATTCCCAACATTAATTTACACTGAAAAAAAAAACACATTGCACATTGCACCGGCATAAAAACAAGTTATTTTTTAATTATTTAAATTTTGCTCAAAATAGAGTTTATATATAGTTATATATATTTAGAGAGTTTATTTATAGTTATATTATATATAGTCTTTTAATATGCAAATTTTAACTTTGCAAATTGAAGTTATTTTGGTCTACTTTTTGTTAACTTTAAAATGATAGATTTTAAATTGAAAATTAACTCGATTGCAATAATATACTATAATCTTTTTTTATATAGTTTTATTTGTTTTGCTTTCATTTTTATTTATTTATAATAAAAAAATTATTATATATATAAAGTTTTATTAAAACTTAAGATACATCTGAAGTTAACCGTTTCTATCGTAAATAAAAAAATTAAAAACTAAAATTAAAAAAACAACCTAATTTAGATTTTCTTCCCAAAACAACTCCAACATCTCCAACAACTGGACATGAAACGAATCCTCCAACAGTAAAGCCAACTGACGCACCAAAAAGAAATTACATGGGTATTGGTAGGTACATATTTGATAATTTGGGTAGTTTACGTTTTAAAAACTTCACGTAATTGAGCCCATCAATTTTAAGTATTTTAGCATATGTGTATTTGGTATTTTGTGTGGAAATTTAAATATATGTATATATATATATATATATATATATATATATATATATATATATATATATATATATATATATATATATATATATATATATATATATATATATATATATATATATATAAGGTATTTTGTGTCGAGATGGACATGTTGAGTGTCCTAATTGGGCAAAGCAAGGTGAATGTTCAAACAATCCTGGTTGGATGAATAAAAACTGTGCTGTATCATGCAACAATAATCGATGTGATAAACAAGGTCTTAAGCCTGCTGGAAAATGTGCTGATCCTTTAGGTCTATCATGGGATGGAAAAGGCTACAAAATTCCAGACTCAGCTTTATATTCCCCTGATCATCTTAAGCCTGGTATTTTTTTAAACAGTTTTTTCTGTTTTTTTGTTTTGTTTTTTTTTTCTAATTAAAAATGATTTTTAAATTTATTAAGTAACTGTGAGACATTTAGTAATAAAAATGCTTTATATATTAGGTGACTGGGAGGCAAGCGCTAAAAATGCCCGTTTATATTTTGAGGATGATCACACAAATAAGCGTATTGGAGCATGGTGTGCAGCAAGCCATGAACAAATTGGTTCAAAAAATGGATATGTTCAAGTAGATTTGGGAAGTCAAAAGACTATTAACTATATTGCAACTCAAGGTATACTCTAAACATTGCTTGTTAATATACCCACATACACACAAAACCATACACGCACAAACACATATGTGTACATATACTTTTTTTTTGGCGCAGTGGTTAGAGCGCTTGCTTTATAAGCAGGAGATCCAGGTTCGAAACGAGCCTTGGACATATTTCGCATCACGGTTCGGAAGGAGGCGTGAACTTCCTGGTTAAATGCACTTCCGCGGTACTCTGTGACAAGACCGTTAGGTCTTCTTGGGGCACCTAAAGTAATACATATATATATATATATATATATATATATATATATATATATATATATATATATATATATATATATATATATATATATATATATATATATATATACACATATCTTAAATAATTTATATAAATAAAAATTATAACTTATACTATATATAATTTTTTTTTTGTCAAATAAGTTAGAATGCATTGTTAACATAACCTTAATATAAAACCTTGATAAGTAATAGTTTTACCAATTTTTATGAAACACAACATTGTTTAAGGGTCGCAGAATTAGGTTAGAGTTTCAAAAATTATGCTCAAAATCCTAATATAACGCAAGTAAAATAATAACTAAAAAATATTAATAAACTTTGTATTATCAATAAAGAACTGAAAGGTTTTCCATTAAATATTTGTTATTGTTCGTCAATAGTTTTCACTGATTTTCAAGACTTATACCAATCTTTGCTAATACGAGGAATAAGAGCTCGTTTTCCTTCCATCACCTGGAACAGTTCTTGTTTCTCATCCACTAATTTTGAAAATTGGTAAATATTAAAATGCAAGTAATTTTATTCCTTGTTCGGCAACATCATTTACAACATTTAAACTGTTGTTGTAATCTTCAATAAATGAAAATTATGATTAGTTTTTAAAAGTGAAAGATTCTGTTTTAGGAATAAAAACTCAAAAACTAAAGCGAAACATCTGTTAGTTCCAACAATTCTCAATTATCAATTCTTAATAACTTTTTTGCGGAATTGTATAACTTGCTTAAAAAGGAAAAAGTAGATTTCCTCAAGATTAATATCAATCTGTCTATATATTTGATTACATTTTATATATATATATATATATATATATATATATATATATATATATATATATATATATATATATATATATATATATATATATATATATATATATATACATATATATATACAAAGCCGGTGCGAATGGGGGTGTGGGAGGTATGACTCCCCCCCCCCTATCAATGATTTTTAGTCAGCAAATTTGACCCTTAGTCGGCAAATTTGACCCTTTTCGACTAGTTAGTCGGCAAATGTCGACCCTTTCGATGCAGGTTAGTCGGTAATTTAGATAGTTAGTCGGCAAATGTCGTCATGGCAGTCGGCAAATTTTCAAAAACGAGGACTTTTTTTTTTTTTTTTAGTCGGCAAAAGTTTTAATGGCACCCCGACTCCCCACCCCCACGTGACACTTACTCGCGCCGGCTCTGTATATATATATATATATATATATATATATATATATATATATATATATATATATATATATATATATATATATATATATATATATATATACCTGTATATATATATACCTGTATATATATATATATTTATATATATTAGAAATATTTACAAGTAACTGATTGGAGATAAAGATGTATAAACATAAATATCATAAACATAAAGTCCAAAATATGCGAAGTAAATAAAAATATAGTTGCATACAACTCCGAGACGAGATTAAAATAAATATCAAATACAACTATATAATAATATGAACGTAACAAATAATCTAAGAAATATATCTCTATATTCTTCCAATTAAAATAAAAAATACTATAAATGAATCTGATAATTTTTGGAGGTGTTAGATGTTTCACTATATATTTATTTACAGATTGGCGGTAAAGATGTACAAATATAAATATCATAAACATAAAGTCCAAGTCCTTTACCGCCAATCTTTAATTGGTTACTTGTAAATATTTTGTAATTGTAAAATAAACATATATATATATATATATATATATATATATATATATGTATATATATATATATATATATATATATATATATATATATATATATATATATATACATATATATATATATATATAGAAAATGGTTTTATCATAGAACCTACTATACACATTATTTATTTATATATTTGTTTTTGATTTTTGTTTTTAATTACTTTCCTTTTCTCTTGCAGTTTTGTGAAATAGTTTTTTTTAAAATGTGTTTCATAAAATATTTTACCCGTTTTTCGTTCTTCCCTTTTTCTTATAGGTTTTATCATAAAGCCTTTACCATTTTCTATTTTACTGAATAATCCTCGTTTTCCCATATATATAAAACTAGGTTTTTGCATCTTTATCACCATAGTATAAAGTATATAAGCATATAAAGTCCTATTGAAATTGTGATGAAACGGCAGTAGAATTAAAGTTGTTTTATTCATATACTGTAAAAGGTTTTACACCCCTACCCCTTGATTTAAATTAAATATCCTACCCACTCTTTTTATTTCGTTTTAAAGTATGTACGTGCATCGCAAAAATGGTTGTTTTTTTTCTCTCTTTCTCTCTTTCTCTCTTTCTCTCTCTCTCTCTTTCTCTCTCTCTCTCTCTCTCTTTCTCTCTCTCTCTCTCTCTCTCTCTATATATATATATATATATATATATGTGTGTGTGTGTGTGTGTGTGTGTGTGTGTGTGTGTGTGTGTGTGTGTGTGTGTGTGTGTGTGTGTGTGTGTGTGTGTGTGTGTGTATGTATATAATGATTATTGATTAAGACATATATAACTGCAATTCTTGTTTTAAGTAATAATAATTGATTTCTTAGGTCGATTCAGGTATTTTGAAAGAGTCTCTCAATTTAAAATAGAATACAGTAATGACGGAGTCAAATTCCAAACATATTCTGAAAATGGCATGCAAAAGGTATTGTACTTTATTTTGTTTTGCTTTTTACATGACATTTTAAACCATTACCTCACTGCAACGTTCTAAGATGCACCAGGGTAACCCAAGATGCACCAGGGTATCCCAAGATAGACAATCCTTAACTCAATGATTGGTTTATGTAAAACTTTATTTTTAAAAAAATTTGTTAATTGATGTACCAATGGTGAGGTTGCCAAGATAGATACCTATTCTTTAGATAAGATTTAGTTAAGAGACTCGATTTTAATAAATTTATTTTATTTGCTATTAATTATTTTTTATTAAATATATTTATTTGTTTTATTAATTTAGAAATTTGATGGCAATTGCGATCATCAAACACCAGTGTTAAATCAATTTAAAACTTCTATATCTGCTAGATATTTGCGATATATACCAGTAGAATCTAATTATCCTTGCGTAAGAATGGAGTTTTATGGATGTTAATATTACTTGTTAACATACTGTACTTTACAGATATTATGAAAAATGTTTTGCTTTTCTCAAGAAAATGAGATTAAAAATAAAGAATTTTTTTTTTAATTTTTGCAAAAATAATATCTTTCAAGAGAAGGAAATTATTTATATTATTAGGATTAAAAAAATTCAATGAATTAAATTCAATTTTAAAAAATTCAATAAATCTGGGTTAGAAACTCTTGCAAAGTTGAATTAAACCCAGAATAAAAGTTTGCGGCAAAAAAAAACAGTATTTTATTATATGGTAGATTTACATCAAGAATATTATCCAAGTAATACTAGGATACGATGACAGTTCTAAACTATAATTTAAAATTTAAGGTTTGTTGAGAAACTTTGCCGTAAAGACTAATTTTAATATAAAGTTTGTTATTCGATTCCTTAATTTGATTGTTTGATCTATTTAAATTATTTTGAGCTTGCCAATTAAAAAATAAACTAATAAAAAAGTTATTCTTAAACAATAATTTAGACAAAGTTCTCTTAATGTTGAGACAAGGGAACAATTTTTTTTTGTCGTAGTTTGACCAAAAGTACTAAAAAAGAGTTGTATAAATTTGATTTTATAACCAAAATAATAAGAGAAAGATTTGTTTATATATTTTGTTACGTTTCATCTTTTTGAGAGAAAGAAGTTGAGCATGAACTAAAATCGTAACAATTGCACAAAAAATCTAAAGTCAATCATTTTCTAGAGATATTTAGTTGTTTAAAAATAAAGACTCAAAAGTTTAATATTTAAGAGGTCATTAAGATAGTAGTTAGTACACTGCGTATAATGGCAGCGTTGTGCAGTCGTTAGGGTGCTGGCTTATATAAATTTAAAAATTAAAAAATGGTTATAATTAATTTATCTTGAAAATAGTACTTTTCAAAATTATTATTTCTAAAAAATGTCAATGATTGGTTAGCAGAAAAATGCACTGGCATGATTAGGGCCACCAAGTGCTTATATTTATATTAAAAGCATGTACAACTATACAAGTTAACGACTGTTTTTTTTATTTCTAATACTATTAACTTACATTCATACTTTAAAAAAATATCTGGATTAAATAAAACTTTTGCAACACATTAACTGATTAAAAAGGTTCTTTGAACTTAATATTGAAAACGATTTCTTTTACTTTTTTTTAGAACAAAAGTTATTATTATCATGTTATTTTACGGCAGAGTTGTTTCCAACCCATTTTCAACATGTAAGTCCGATAGACGTTCTTAAACCTCTTTTATAGTATTTCTACAATCATTTTTTTGAATCCTTTTTAGTTTACTTAAAAGTCTTTCTCCTTCTGCAACAGGTACTGAAATTGCGTTAAAAAAAATTAAAATGTATATAGATTGGAAAATAGGCTATTGACTAGACCATTTCAAAAGTGTATATAAAAAAAATAACTTTTTAATTTTAATTGGGCTATTCTTTGATTTGATGTGGTTTGTGGATTTTGAAAAAAAATTTTCAAGAGTAAGTCATGTTAGGTCTTAAAAGTAGCAAAATTACCACACAAAAAAATCATTTCGTACTACAATTATTATTTTAGATTTAATTGCATAATAACTATGGTTTTTTAACTAGAAATTTAAAAAAATTGCATTTTTACAAGTTTTTAATATAAGAAAAATTTTTCTAATACATTTTTTATAAAACGATAATTATTTTTGAAATTTATATATTATTTTGCTTCTTTTGTACCAAGTTGACCTACTTTTAAAGAACTACTAAGAATACTAAAAAGGTGTGCAGCATGAAAAACACCAATACTACACCGTTTTGGTGTATTTCATGCTGTACACCTTTTTAGTGTTAATTAACACCGTCTTGGTTTTTATTTAGACTGTTTTGATTATTTCAGGCTAGTTTTAAACAAACAAAAAACTTATAAAAATTAACATATATACACACATATTTAATTAAAAAATACATAAACTATGTTCCTTTTTATGTTCTGCACATTAAAAAAGTTCTTAAAAAATGTCTTTATAGTTCATTTACATTTGACGGTTTCAATAGTTGACTTACCTTTTTTGATGAAGGAAGACTTTTTTTTAAATATAGACTGCCAAAATTTTCCAAAATGATTTTGAACTAGAAGGATACTCAAGGTTAATTGCATACAAAAACATAGTTTGGCTTGTATAATTTCAACAAGCTTTTTTGGGGGGCAACCAAAAACCTTTAAAGCATAGAAGATATTCTTCTCTTTCATAGTAGCCTGCAAGCTGCATGTCATTCACTTCTGGGTTTTGCTTAAAAACAGTTGAGCGAGGATTTAAATAATACACAATAGCCATTAAAAGGTTTTTGTTATCATAATCCTAAAAAAGAAAAACACATTTAATAAACTTGATTTTTTAATCCTTATTATTGATGTAGGAAAGTCCAGCAAAATAAGTTAAACTTTTAACTGAGCAGGAAAAAAAATATTTTAATACTCCTCATGACATGTTTGTGGTATCTTCAGCGCCTATACACGCACACACAGATAATTTTAATATAAATTCAGCACCTATACACGCACACACAGATAATTTTAATATAAATTCAGCACCTATACACGCACACACAGATAATTTTAATATAAATTCAGCACCTATACACGCACACACAGATAATTTTAATATAAATTCAGCACCTATACACGCACACACAGATAATTTTAATATAAATTCAGCACCTATACACGCACACACAGATAATTTTAATATAAATTCAGCGCCTATACACGCACACACAGATAATTTTAATATAAATTCAGCGCCTATACACGCACACACAGATAGTTTTAATATTCTGTAATTTAATTGCTTACTTTGATTGCTTGATCTATTTTTAAATTTTTTGAACTTAAAAAGTCGATTAAAAAATAAACTAATAAAAAACTTATGTTTAAACTTATATATATATATATATAAGTTTAAACATAAGTGAAGCGCGAGGGGGTGTGCGTGGTGTGACACCCCTCCATCACTGAACTTTTCGTTCATTTAGTTAACCATAACACAATCTCTTTTACCAACTTAACTTGAAACAACAACAAAAGAAAAACCGTACATGCAAAACAATCTGGTACAACCCTCCTTTTTGCATAAATGTCAACACAAATATAGGAAAATGCTTTTTAAACTTGCTTTTTAAACTTGTATGGTTGCCATACATTTTCCAATTATTTTTTTTTTTAACATCTTCACTTCCAACCAGGCTGAAGGAACCACTATTATAAAGTTGGAAGTTAATGGAAAAAAAAGATGAAAATTGTAGAGCAAGATAACGATTGGCAGACGACTTAAAAGATTGCAAATTATATGAATCAGGAAAGCAGATGAAGGAAGTGAATTCCAAAGAACTGATGTTCGAGGAAAAAAAGCACTTAGGAACAGTCACAGAAAAAGGATGCGAGGAGTAACACGAGAATGAATTTTAGTAGATGGCACAAGAGACGCTGACTCTTTAGAGCAATGCCCATTATAGTATTTGTAGAAAAGAGAAAGAGAAGCAACGTTATGACAATGTGATAATGGTTGGAGATTAGCTGCAAGAGCAGGTTCAACTATGTTCAGAATGCGTTTTTTTTCTCAATCTTTCTTGGAAATCATATACCAAATCCGTTTTGAAACGGATTTGTTATATAATTTCCAAGTAAGATAGGAAGTAAGAGTTAATCCTAGAAGATGAAAGGTAGATGACTCATTGAGTACATTACAGTTCATAAATATATGAAGACCTAAATTATTGCCACGGCCGCAAAGAGTGTATAAACATATTTTATTTATGTATTTATGTTTCATGCAAAGTGCATTTCATAAGATTCTCCCGGCGGGGAATCGAACCCCGACTTACCGCGTGATAGGTGGGGATAGTTACCACTATACTACCGAGTAAAATTAAAGTTCACTAGCCACTGTGAGTCCGATGCTGTAGCAGAAATGAGATATTTTTCAAGCTCAAATGCCCCTTCATTTATTCTTATGACAAGTATAAATGGTAGTACCGTCGGCGAAGAATGCCACCTTAGGTGTGAGAATATCTGGAAGTTCGTTTATGTAAATTAAAAAGAGTATAGGGCTAAGGATTAAAGCTCGAGGAACCCCTGAAGTTACAAGATATGAAGAAGAGTGTTATCCACCGAGGACAACTTTTATACTACAATTGGAAAGGAAGAATTCAATAAACTTAAAGATGTTACGAGATACACCGTAAAAAGAAAGCTTGTGGAGAAGACCAACATGCCAAACTTTATCAAAAGCTTTAGAAATGTAAAGAGCGATAGCCTTAACCTCTCCACCTTTATCTAATGCACGATAAAATCTAGCGGTTATTACTGTTAGCAAATCAGATGTAGAATAAAAAGATAGAAATCCATATTGATGATCAGAAAGTAAGTTATTAGATTCAAGATGAGATGTTAAGTGTTTGTTAATTAAAGATTTAAAAACCTTGTTTATGATAGAAAGTAGACTAATCGGACGGTAGTTAGACGAGTCAGATCGCTCTTCAAAACTTTTGAAAATAGGAATAACAGATGCCGCTTTCCAGTAGGCTGGAAAACAAGGCTCTGATAAACACTTGTTAAATAGTTTCGAAAGTATTGGCGACAGCTCCGTAGAACATTTCCGCAAGACTATAACAGGTATGTTGTCCGGGCCACAAGCTGTAGAAGAGTCTAAACAGGAAATCACTTTAGATACAGACGCTGGAGTGATACGAATGTCAAGCAATGGATCAACGTGTTTGACGACTATATCAGGTAGAACGCAACTAGTGAAATCAAGAGATGATATTGATGAAAAGTTTTTAGCAAACAATTCAGCTTTGCTTTAGGTAAGGTGACAAAGTCTGAACCATACAAGAGAGATGGAATAACAGTTTTGCCCTTGTTATTGATACTTATAAAGATTCTCTAGAAGTCACAAGAGCCTAATTTTTGTGATGAAATACGAGATTTCATGACCTGAGAATAGCGGGCTTTGGTGTTAGACAAAACCTTTTTACAACGGCATCTAGCAGTAATAAATAGACGTCTGTTTTCTGGAGGTTTGTTTTGCTGATAATATGGAAGTAACAGTTTCGATTGGAAATTGCAGCAGCACAACGTGAGGAAAACCATGGTGGAAGATTGAAGCTTAACGTGGAATTGTCGAGGGGGAATAAAAGATTCCATGCCAGCCTTAATCTACGAAGTTATGTAAGAAGTACATTTATCAGCAAGAAAACGAAAGATTTCTATCACGGAGAAAATCACGGTAAGAGTCCCAGTCAGCTTTAAGGTAGTTGTTTGATAATAAAGGGGGATTCAGATGATGTAGAAGAATGAGATAATAGCTTTAGAGAAAACAAACCGTGATCAGACACCACTAAGGGTAAATGTGGAGAAACTGAGCACTGACTAGGATCAAAAACTACATACAATTTTCAACGAGAACACTGTAAAAACCACAAACTACATAAAATTTTCAACAAGAACACTGTAAAAATTAGCTACAGTTTCATGCAGAACATGAAATCAGTAATAAATTTGAAAGTCGAATGTCGGTCCTCTAGATTCTGAGCCAGAATTTTAACCACTGCTACAGTGGTTAGAGTTTGCATATATACTGAATTCTTTTTTTTTTTTACCCATAACTTACATATCAAGTTATAACTTAAATCTTTCTTACTTAGCATATTTTCTATACTTAATAAATGAGCATCCTTAAAGTACGTATGCATTTAAACCCTTCCCCCTTCTTCTGCGTAAGTACGCATTACTTAAAACGCCTAAAATTTTCAAAACTTTATTAACAAAAAAACAAACTAATTCGACATGTGTCTGTTACATAACAACATTAATTTTTTAAACTTTTGAAATTCAATGCTTTCGTTAAAAAAAAAAGAAATCAAGTTTTATGAAGAGATACAAAAAAAGAGATAGTCAAACCCGTACTTAACCAGTCTTAAACCTCCCCTCCCCTTCTCCCTCCATTGTACAAGTTCGTACGTTTTTGAGTAATCGCCTCCCTCCTTCATACCTGCATACGTACTTTATGGAAACCCCTAAATAAAATGAACAAGATATAAAATACAATAAATCCATATAATATACATATCATATACATACTTTTATTATATATTGTACATAAAGCAAATATTTTATATAAATATAGAAAATATATACATTTTAATAAATATACATATCAATTAAACTTGAGGGCTACTACGCATGCGCCAGCACGTGGATGAGCAAGTTTTCCAACATCTACCCATTTGTTAGAGTCTGGATCGTAAGATTCAACGGCATCAAGGTATGCTTGTCCATCGTAACCCCCAACAGAATAGAGATGATCTCCTAATGCAGTCATTCCAACAGCATCTCTACAATTATTCATAGATGCAATCAAACTCCATTGATCACTTCGAGGATCATATCGCTCAACTGATGAAAACTGTTTTGAAGATTCACAACTGGCAGGAGCGTCATGACCTCCTGCAGCATATAAAAAACCTCTCAGAACAGCAACGCCAACTCCTAATAAATTTAAACAAAATTAAGATAAAAATGTTTTTATACGATAATAAAAACACTTATTCAATGAATTTTCTTTATAACCAAAAATCTGAACAAAACTTTTAAATTGTAGAACTTTTTATAAAATGATCAGTTTTCATAAATTTAAAAAGTATGCTAACAAAAAATCTAAACAACAAAGTTAATTGCAATTTTTTTATGCCTACTTTGCTGACAGCTGGTATAAATTCTTAAAAAGAAGTTAAATAACTTGATTATTTCTTAAATTGATCTTGATTTTCAGCTTGTCAGTTTTTAGTGTGCACTATTTCTTCTAGAAATCTTCAGTCTTCCAAAAATCTTTGATCAGGCATAATTCTGGCACATTAGCCTTGCTAGCCAGAATGATCTTTTATCTCGAATTCAACATTTTTGGATTTTTAATAATTTTGTACTTTATGTGAATATGATCAGATTTATGTGAATATGATCAGGATCAGGCCAGAAAAACTTTTTAAATTAATAGCACTAATCTGACATTTTAAAATATAAACTTCTTCATTGACTGCTCCTCAAAAATGGAATTCAAACAAGTAATTTTGATTAGAATTTGTCTTTTATTTTCAATTTTACATCATTTAAACTAATCTAAAACTTTTGAAAAAAACTTTTAATAATAATTTTGTAAAATATGACACAATGAACCGCTTTTCAATAACCGTTTTTCAAGACCATGCTGTGAAATACAATCCTTTTGTGACCATCCTTTTAATCAATAAACTTTTGATTGATCAAAAGGATGCTTTCTCTGATTTTTAGACACCTTTTTTGCTATATCAAAAAAATATCAAAAAAATTTAAATCTTTAAAACCTCCTCGTCTTTTAACCATTGGTGCAGCTATTTTCCACTTATCAGTATGCGGATCATAGACTTCTACAGAATTCAAGCACGAAGAACCATCTCTTCCTCCAACAGCATAAAGTTTATTGTCTAAAACAGCAACACCTACAGTGCTTCTAGGAGTGTTCATTTCCTTAACAAAACACCATTTGGAAGTTTGAGGATCAAATCTTAAAGAAAAAATATTAAATGATAAAAAAATTATATTATGCTGTTTGCATATGCTTCTGTAGCCGATCCAGGGGAGGATGCTATAATGTAATCTGCAATCTGCAGAATTAGATAATTCAAAGTAATTGAAATTAAGCATTTTGTAAAAATGAAAACTATAATACTATTTGTTATTGATAATCTTATTTGCTGTTTTACATAGATTTTGAAGACCAAATATTGCTTTTAATTTCCATAATTTAATATTTAGTTACCTATAATATATTTTTAAATTAATTTAGACTATAGAGATTGGTAAATTGAGTAAAATTTATTGAAAATATCTTTACAGAAGATTTTGTGTAGAGTGGATATTTTTTTCAAAATTAAATTAAAACAAAAAATGAATATGTTACCAAAAACAAATAATACTTATTGCTTCCTTTTAACAGAAAGTTATTTTGAATTCTATGGAAATTATAGTTTAAAATTATAGTTTAAATTATAGTAAAAAAATTAACCTTTCAACAGTGTTTAAATATGACCACCCATCATGTCCACCAACAGCATACAAAGGCCCACATAAAACTGCTACTCCCAATCCATGTCGATGAGTCAACATTGATGTCATTGTCTCCCATTTATTACTTTTTGGGTCAAAACGTTCAACGTTATTCAATGTCATAAGACCATCTCGCCCACCTTGAAAATTTTTTTAGATAAATATAATATTTTTTTAATGTTAAATTTATAAAAGAAATTCAATAAAATTATTTAAAAATTCTTGAATTTAGACCATATGTGTGACCAAAATTTTACTGATAGACAAATTCAGACTTTTAAACTGAACTTAACTAAAAGTCAAACTATATCCTGTTTATATTATGTGTATATTATTATTACGTTTACAACATTATTAACCCAAATCTTCATAAATTAACGAAAATTAAAAAACTTTAAAAAAAAAAAAACTCACATGGGCAATAACTTTATTGTCAAAAACATGCATAACATTATAATATATATAAACTTATACATAACAATGTGTATATATAAACTTATTACTTTCATAACAACAATGAAAGTACATTTTTAAATAACTATTTTTTATAAACCAAAACTATTATTTTTTAAATAGAAAGCTTTTATTACCCATATTTTAAAACATGATGAAAAACAAGAACAATTTGTGTATAAAACAAAAATCTAAAAATTCAGCAATGATGAGAAATCAAGTTATGTAATCTTTAAAAATATTTTTAAAAGAAAATTAACAAAAGTACAAAAATTCAATTTTATAAAGGAAAAAGTTCGTGAAGAATATTATGCTATTTATTCACCTGTTTTTACCTTTAGAATTTTTTGAAAGCGATAAATAAGTTTTAATAAGTGAAAAATATAAAATTTTGTGCTTAAAGAAGACTTTTTGGTTTAAAAAAAATCTACAAAAAAAATTTTTTTTTTTTGTTCCCAATATGGCTATGCAACTCTTTCTGTTCTAATGAGGTTAAAGCCCTAAAACTCAATACTTCTAAGGCTGGCTAGTAGCAACATTTTCTAAACTCTGTGGTAGCGTTCAGATAGGCTGATCCAATCAATAGCTGTAAAATAACAAAGTAAAAACAGTGCCATGTTGTACCTTTTTTTAATTCTAATTCACTCCCAACAAGGCTGCAAGCAATCACTACTAAGTTATAAGTTACTAGAAAACATGACAGAAGACATATAAAGTTGTAGATTGTATGAAGATGGGAGAGAGTTCCAAAGGGTTGAAGTGTAGAGAAAAAACTAAACAAAAAATGTTTTTAGAACATACAAGAACAGAAACAGTAAAAGGATATGATTTTGCTGAGTGACAAGTCAAGCAAGAATGAGTTTTATTTGATGAAACTAGAGATAATAACTCATTTGAGCACCAACCATGATAGTATTTATAGAAAGGAGAAAGAGATACAACTTTATGACAATGGGAGAGATCCTAAATAGAAAAAGCATGTCTAATTACGTTTACAAAATGTTTTTGGAACTTGTTTAAAAAAGAAAGAGTATCATTAAAACATAAAAAGAACTAGCCCAAACAGTATTCGATACAAGTAAGAATAGAGGTAGAGAATAGAATCAAGAGTAAGATAATGGCAAGCACAATAAAAAGAAGCAATCTTAGATGATGCTAACTTAGCAATTGCTTGTATATATGGTTTGCATGAGAGGTTAATAGTGAACAATAATTCAAATAGGATGTAAAGAAGACGACTCAGGGAGAGTGTTGCTATTCATTAATGTAGGAATGTAGGCAGTATTGTGATGTTAGTAAATTCTTGGATACCTTGAGGTACCCAAGAATTTATGGAAATGAAGAAGAGTGTTAACTTTCTAGGATTTCTAGACAGTAAGTTGTTTGACATCAGAAGAGACCTTTAAAATTTGTTTATCAAAAACTCAAAGACCTTGCTAATAATTTCTGGGTAATTAGTTTTATATAAAAAAAATATATATAGAGTGTTAAAATATCGACCAGTCAAAAGCACAAACAGGGACACCATCCATGTGCAACATGACACTGTTAATACTCTGATATTTTGCAGCTGTTGATGGAAAGTCAAGAAGATCCATTATACATACATATATATATATATATATATATATATATATATATATATATATATATATATATATATATATATATATATATATAAATATATATATATATATATATATATATATATATATATATATATCGACAAAAAGTTATTTTGGTCGGACATTGTCCAATCAAATTTTTAAAATAAAATTTAAACAAATAATTTTCACCAATATTTACACATATTCATATTTATTTTGTTAAAAGGAACACAGGAAAAAGATAGTTCTTTAAATGCCGAGAGTAAAAAAGTACTGCAGATGGTTTTTTTTAGACTAGCTTTTGGCGTATCTGAGCTTTACGGAACCCAATTATCCAATCGAAATATATGTTATGTTTTCCCAGTTTATTTTATTTTAGGCTAGTGAAGTTGTAGTTTGTTTTTTAAATATTCAGAATTTTTATCGTTGTAGATCTTTGTATTTTAAATGAAATAGTTTAAATTCAATACTATGCATTTTTTTAGATAGACTTAAAGTTTTATTGAGTTTTTTTCTCTCGAAAACCTTGTTAGTTTACATTGAATTGCATTACCGGTTTATAAAAGTTATGTAAATTTTTTTACTTAAAAAATATAATATGCTAAGTGTCAATTTTGCGCATAAGCTCTACTTTTAGTGCCAAAAAGGTATTTATATGGTGTTCATGTAACTATTTTTATCAATTATAACAAGTTTGTTATAGTAATATAGTATAATAATGTCTTTAATATATTAAATATTAAGATAAACATATTATTTTTAAACTTTATATAAAAAATTTAAACTTCGCTTTTACTTATTTAAAGGCGGTTAAATCAAACGCAATATGATATTTACAGGCTATTATTTAATTTAAAAATTCCATGCGCTGCATGTCATTAAAATTCAATCAATTCAACGAAGAAAATTTTATGAGTTCTACAGGTTATTATTTATCTACTTTTCAAAAAGGCACTTCTTCTTTGGCAGACAAGTTTTATAAAGCTAGAACTTTTTAATCTTTTATATATATATACATATATATATATATATATATATATATATATATATATATATATATATATATATATATATATATATATAAAATACAAATAAAGATAAAGTTTAAAAAACGAATAATAAATAAAGAATCAGAAAACTCGAGTAGGACCAGGATGCCACCGAGAAACCGCTTAAGCTAAAATAGAATGATTTGGATGATTATAACGTTAATATTTAAATGTATATTTTCTTAATGTTTTTTTAAAAATATTCCATCAATGAGATCTCAGCCTCTAAAAAAACACATTTGTAAAATCTTTTATAATCAAATTTTTGAAACTGCTAGCTTTTCTTTGCTTTTCAGTGTCCACAGCGTTTGCAGTAATCAATCGAACATACTTTGACTTTTGCGATCGTTTTAAATAAGCAATAATTTTAACTTTAATAATATAACAATTAAACTTTTAAAGAACAGTCATTAAAACTACAATTAATAACAGCACTTTTTTTGGGAATGAATGCCTCCATTATCAACATATTTTATAAGTTTGTCTAATAGTTTACATTAAGTTTAAATTTGTCAATTTTAAATCAACGAATAAAATTTTATTTTAAAGAATTAAAAATCTTGCCGGACAAAATGTCTGATGACTTTGTAAATTGATCGGACAATCTGAGGTTTAAGCTGGACCATGTCCAATGTCCGACTGTTAAATTAAGTGCTATATATATATATATATATATATATATATATATATATATATATATATATATATATATATATATACATATATATATATATAATCATATGTCTTCAATTGGGTGACACTCCGGTAGGGTTGGCGGATTGTCAACTTTTTTGAAAAAATTGATGTTATGGGACTCATTGCAGTCAGTCACGGTTTTGGCATAATGCAATGATACCAGGTCCGGCCAAAATACATAATTACCATTGGCTAGATGAGCGTTGATGAACAGCACTAATCTTCCCTTAATACAATCCATTAGCAGATAACTTTGTTAACAGCAAGGCTGCTGGGGACAGCTTGGATTGGAACTTGTGCTTTTTGCAATATTTAACACTGAAGTTCTAATTTAAGTTTTTAATTTAAACTCATTGAAGTTTTATCTCTGTCACTAGAAATATAGATGCTGTTTCCGTTAATCGTTGAGTGCGACAGCGTGAAGTAAGACTTATCATCAAGGATGATTTTCCTTGAAAATTCAATAAAGATAATTAATGTTAAAACGATCTTAATTCACTCTTTCTGGGTCTCTTGTCCATCAGGTATACTCTATTTGTATAAGTTTTAATGTAAGTGTACTTTGAAAAAAATTTAATGATATGTGAATGAATGCATCGAAATTTTCAACTGACTTAAAACCATTGTTTTTTTTTATAAATAACAACTTAAACATTAACATTAATTCTGGCCTCAAGATGCAAAAAAAATTTTAATTAGGTTTTTCAAAATGTCTTGCAAGCCAAATTAAATCTCACAGCGAGCCTGTACCTAGGGCCATTTTCTTTAGACTAGAGCCCTTAAAACTGTAAATCTGGCTCTGCATATATATACACACATAGACACAAACATATATATATATATATATATATATATATATATATATATATATATATATATATATATATATATATATATATATATATATATATATATATATATATATACTGTATTATATATACTATACTTATTTATATAAATTTTTACCAATTACATAAAGCTTATTGCTAACAACAGCAACACCAAACTGTAATCTTTTAGTTTCCATGGAAGCAGCTAGTGACCAAACATTTTTACGAGGATTATATTCTTCAATTCCAGTAGCAGCTCCTTTAACTTCATCAATACCTGTTATTTTTATATAAAGTTCAAACAAAGACTATAATAAGTTATATAAGTTTAAAAAATAAAACAATTAATAAATAAATAATATTACCTCCAACAGCATATATCACACCTATTGTACCTTTCCTTGCCTTAACAGATAGCATACTATTTCTGGATGAACGATCTGGAAGTAAATGATGTTTCATCGTTTCTATAAACAAATCTTTACATTTTTCATCACATTGAATCATAGGTTCAATCTCATCAATTAAAAATTGAGGTGAAAGTAATGCCAATCGAACAGCTGGCAAAACTTTATGCAGTTGATTTTTTCGACTGTCTGGATTATGATTGACCCATAAAGACAAAGCATGAAACACATCATCTTCTTTCAACACATTTAGCTCATCGCTTTGAAGAATCTCAACAAGTTGCTCACTATTTAGCAACAAAAACTCTTGGTTTCGTGCCACATCACCAAAATTATCTTTTACATAACTGTTGGCAATATCAAACAATTGCTCACAAGCATGTGCATCTGCAAAGGCTCTTATACCTAAACAATTAGATGGATGCAACTGACTTTTCATAAATGTACAGCATGCATCCCGCACATCAGTTACTTGTAACAAGCAAGCAGATGCTAGTATATTTTCAACATTGTCAACACGAATTTCTATTTTACTTGTATAAGCATAGTTTATCAGCGCTTCTAAAGCATCAGGATCAACATTATTAATTGTTACAACTTGCTGCTGACTCTCAGAGAGCTCATTTCTAAACATTGCACTAAAATAACTGCATAATGAAGATATAATTACTTTGTGAGCTGGAATTTTTTTGCATCCAGCTACCAAAATTATATCTGTAAACTCTTCACGATTGCGAAACTCTGCCATTTTTTTAAAAGCTAAACTATAATATGACTCGCACTCATAAACTAAACGATCAACTGATTCTTCCATTTTGTTATATATTTAACCAACATGTTAAAAACCAGTATTACCTGACTTTAAAATTTTATCTAAATACAAACGAAAACTATATAAAATAACTATACACTAAAAAAAAAAATTTAACTACATAAATTTTAAAACTTACAAAAATTATATATTTGTTTTTAAGGAGTACACCTGTCAAAAAGCTATTTCAAAAAATCCTTTATTTGAGAAAAAAATAAAACAAAAACACAAAGTTCTATTAAAAAATATTTTTAAATAGCTACCTACACAATAAATAATCTTTAAAGATAAAAATGGATTAGAACAATTTTGTAATGTGTAACATGTTTTAAAATAAAACCTTATTTAGATTCTAAAAACACATTTTAATATTTATATAAAATAGTATATAAAATAGTATATAAAATATTATATAAAATATATATAAAATAGTATATAAAATATAAAATATTTACAGATAATAATATAACAAATTTATACAAATGCATATATATATATATATATATATATATATATATATATATATATATATATATATATATATATATATATATATACATGCTATACAATTTTGTTTAATTATTCTTGTAAGAAACTATAATATATTCATCATTATAACATTCAATTCATCTTTTATGTTTATTTATTATACCATATTACAAAGACAATAGCCCTCTTCTTAAATATGGTTTAGATTTAAAAAGAAACTTTCTTAAAAATTTTAAGAAAGTTTCTTTCTTAAATCTAAACCATATTTAAAAAATGTTGAGGAAAATAAAACCCTTAATTTAACTGCAGGTAATGGTAGTACTGTGTTATACCAAATAAATAAGAAAAAATTAGCTTTATAACTTATGTAGAAATCCTTCTTAAAAATAAAACAATATAGTTTTTCTGTTCATACTTTATTATACTTGATAGCTATGCACACATGGGCATAACAAAACAGAAACAAACAAGAAGTTCATATACAACAACCCTTTTATCCTTAATAAACAAGGTATTTAAACAATTTATTTAAAAAATTCCATTAACTTTGATATGTATTAATCTTTAGCAGCATGAAAACTTGATCTAAGGTTGTAATATGGATCAGACTTTTACAACATTATGGAAAATGCTTCTACATTTCTTTGCATCATTATCTTCAATATATTATTTTGCAATACATTTCTTTGCAACATTATCTTCAACATATAATTTTATTAACAACCTAATACAAATCACATTAAATCAACCAAATTTTTTGAAATTTTGAACCAAGGAGCCTCACTTTTTTTTTTATTACTTTGGCAAACTACTCTTGCCATTTAGCTCATACACAGGAGGAAAATACTCTTCTGCCAATTGGTTTACATGGATAAATGTGGCAAATATTTGGCAGCTCTGAAAAAAGATGGCTGACAGACAATGTCAATGTATGACACATTATTTAAGTTTTATTCCACAATTTACTACAGAGAGTACTTTTTGTTTTAACATTTGAATTTCTAATTAGGTATGTTTTATACTAATTAAAAATAATTTACTATCTGTTTACTGTTCATACTGTCTATCTTAACTCATTGTTAATTGTACTTCAAATAAAAATGAAAAAGAAGAATGAAATGGAAAGACTGAAATAAGAAAGAACAGCTGAAAGAAAAAATAAGAAAAGAAAAAAAAAGAAAGAATAGAAAATGAACGAGAATGAGAGGGGGAAAAAAAAAAGAAAAGTAAGTAAAAAATCAAGAAACAGAAATGGTACAAGAAATCTAATTCAGACTCATCTATGTCCATTCCTAAGCCTAGCTTTATTGAATTTGTGTAAAACAGTGATTCTGACAGGTAGAAATATTTTTAAAATGAAGATTGTATCTTCTACTCTGGAAAAGGATGACTTTTAATTGTATAGAGTAAGGATGGAGCCATTTTCGAGGGAAAATATTGCATGATGTGGCAGATAGCTATGAAATAATGTGGCTAGATAATGAAGATAAGCTTGTACATACCCCTTATAAATGGCGAATTTTTATTTATACTTATTCTCTTATAATAAAGGAACAAATATAAAGAAAAACCTGCCATCTAAACTTGTGTTCTCATACCAGAAATGAACATTTATTATTTATAATATATTTAATATTTCTTTGCAATGTTACATTCACTAAAATAAAAATATTATCAGTGCTTTCAATTTTCTCTCATTGAACATGGTCAACTGTTAAAGCAATGGATAATCAAATACTATTAAAAAATAATATTTGGTTAACCTTCATAACTTTCTGCATCAAAACGTATTAGATGATTTTTGGGGGGAAATTAACAAGTAGTACTTCCTAACAAAAAAAATCACCACATACAATTTGATGCAGAATTACTAAATAGTGATGGCTAATTTTTCTTGACTATTAAATTGTCAGGTGAAAAGTGGTTTATTTTAGGATTGAAAATAATAACTGTATTTTATAAAACATAATTATTATTTTTATTCTAAAGACTTTCTTAAAAATATTTTTCTCAACAAAAGAACGTGTCGAAAAATTAGTAGGAAACCAAATACATTATGATAAGTACCTATGTTTACAGTGATGCTTACTTTTATTTCCTTTATGGCGAGAAGAACCAATCAAACAAAAACTAAATTTCTTTTTGATTCTTTCATGTGTGTTTTTTATTTACCTTTTTTTTATTTATTTATGTAGTAAGAAAATATTTTGGTATTGAAATATGATCGTTTTTTCACGGCGGAATAGATATTTTTTAACCGTAGAGATTTATCTGCGTCGTCTGCGTATAAATTAAATCACCTGGCCTGAATATATTATTTTGAATACCATTATTAATAATGAATAATAATGAAGTACCTATAAAAATAGTCTATTTCGCAAGCTTAACTTGTTGTGAGTTAGAAATACTTTGGTTCTATGTTTTCCAAGAAAAACAATACATTGACTTTTCAGTAAAAAGTCAATTCAATGTAGTTTTAAACATGAAAAACAGTGAAAACATTATTTACATTTCTATTTACATTTTAATTTTTATCGGTTTACGTACGCACTCAAACAAAATTTTGTTCTGAATAAAACATTTGAATAATTAATCTAGTGTAAAAAACTTTAGATAAAAAGAGTTTATTTGCAGAAGGAGAAATATCTGAGTACCTGAATTATTAGGATATCTGTATTGGAAAAAATCTATCATAAGTTATACTCAAAATTAGTGGCATTGCATCAGCAGGTTCAATGAACCTAGACCTCAACCTTTTGGAGTCCCTGACTGTCAAAAAAATTTTTTTTAGTATACAGTTATACCACTTCAGATTCCTGAAACCCAACTCAATTAGACTCTAGTCTATGCTGGGGTTTTCAAAAATTGTATCAAGTGGCTATAACGTTTACTTCCGAATGGATGCAGTGAAAAATAGTAAAGTAGATGCATACTTTCAAAATGAAAGAAATAAGGTTGCAACTAAATCTTTTGACAAAGTGGTCAGCGATGAATGCCTATAAACTGCAGAGGTTTATTTCAGGTGTTTATATTCTTTTAACAATTAAAACAGTTAAAACAACCGTTTTAACTGTTTTAATGGTTATTGTTGACATTAGTCTCAATCAGATGATTCGATTCGAATCATAGCAACATGTTGTAAGTCATTTCTAACTGGAAAGCTCACTTGGTGGCTAGATAGTTCGGTTAATTAGATCATCAAACGAATTGTTAAAACCCAGATTGCTGTGCGATATGATTTAAAATCTAGTTACCACGCTTAACTCAGTTAAACCGCAGCTAACTCAGCGCTTGTGTAGTATTTCGGTCCGCAAAAATGACGCTTCTTTGGATTATTTATGGCTGTTTCTATGCTTAGCAAACAATATCTTTTATAATAAAGTATAGCACGAAACTCAAATAAATAAATAAATATCTGGTTTCTATTTCTAAACATCTAAGCATATTATCTCTAAATTTGTTGCAGTGTTAGTGAAAAGTGAAAAACAATATTTCTGAAGATCTTATAAGTCAGGTTTTGGCTTTTCTTGCATGTGCCAGAAAATGCATAAAAGCAAAAACAGGCAATAGTGTTAAGAAACTCATAGATATAATGCAGCTCAATTTGATGATCAGTCCTCTAGATTTAGTTACTGCCTTAGGAACTTTTTCAACTCTGCGCATTAGAAGAGTAAAGTTTCTCAAAGCTTATATTTAAAGTTTCAATAGTTAAAGATTTACCCTTAGCAAAAAAGAGTATTCTGACTTTTAAAATGACTGTTTAATGAAAGTTAAGCTGATAACATTTAATAAATCTCTATATATAATACTGGTTAGCAGTCTTTTGAGGTTTTTAACTGTGGTCTAATTGTTTGTAATATTACCGTAGATGGGGGCAAAAAAGCCTAGGGGGAAACTAAAGCCATTATAGCTGATAATTTTTAGATACTGATAATGGCAACACTTTTGAACTTAACAGCTGATGTTGTATTCTTCTAACAGGAGTTTTAAAGTGCGTACCAAATACTTGTCCAGATTACTAAAACAAAATCAAGGTAAGTGAACAGTAAAACTATACCCAAAGAAGAAGCTTGGTACCCGGAAATTTAAAGATTGCATAGATGAAACGCTAAAAATAGCTGTAGAAATAGTAAAGAAAGGGTCGTCTTAAAAAAAAAGGTTGCTGAAAACTTAGACTTAGTTTATATTTAAACATGAAAAGTATATTTTGATAAATATTAATTTGAAAAATATTTATAGCGTTCATTTTCTTCAGTAGGGGTTGAGCATGAGTAAGTTTGTTTTTGTTGAACACTAGTCTTGAAGCGTGCTTTTGACGCAGATAAAGCAGTTTTAATTTAGTTATGTGGGTACTGCCCCATGCTATTTTGGCATACATAAGATAGCTATGTATGAATGAAAAATAAACGAGTATTAGACTTTTTTGTGTAAAGAAAGATCTTGCCTTATAAAGTAAACCTATGTTCTTTGATATTTTTGTATTTATATAGTTGATGTGGGGCTTCCAAGAGATGTGTTCATCAATTAGAACACCTAAGAACTTTGTATTTTGAGCACTTTCGATGATTATATTTTCTATATTAATTGTTGGTAGGTTAAGGGGAAGCTGTTTAATTTGTTGAGTAGAGTGGAATAGAATATATTTACTTTTATTTATATTAAATGATAGTTTGTTTAATTTAAACCATATATTAATTTTTTTTAGTTCATTATTTGTTTTTTTAAATAAGTCTTCAATAGTCTTTGATGAGTAAAATAAGTTTGTATCATCGGCAAACATTATAGTTTTGAAAATATTAGAGGCATTTGTGAGATCGTTTATGTAAATAAGAAACAAAAGAGGAGCAAGAATGGACCCTTGGGGTACACCACATTTTGTTTTCAGTAAATTCGAGTTGCTTTTTTTATCTATAATAACACACTGGTGTCTGTCATTAAGGTAGTTTTTAAACCAAGTTAAAGCTTTATTTTTAACGCCATAATTTTCCATTTTTGTCAGTAAAATCTCATGGTTGACGGTGTCAAATGCCTTTGACAAAGCAATAAAGATTCCTAACGTGAATTTTTTTTGTTTAAATGGTTTACTAATCCTATTTGAGAGATCAAGGATTGCATGCTCTGTTGCGTGTCGCTTTTGGAAACCGTATTGACCTTTATTAATAGTTTTATTAGTTTTTAAATATTCATTTAATTTATTGTAGATAATTCGCTCAAGAAGTTTTGCAAATACCGAAAGGATTGAAATAGGTCTATAATTGTTTAAAGAGTTGGCTTCTCCTGATTTATAGATTGGTATAATTTTTGAGATTTTAAGCAAATCAGGTACAATACCTGTTGTAACTGATGAGTTAAATATTTGGTGAATAGGATTACGTATTTCCTCAAAATCATCTATCACTTCTTTGCAAGAGATATCATCGATTCCTGGGGACTTGATTTTAAGTGATTTCTTAGCTATCTCAAGTTCGTCTTAGCTTAGTTCGTTGAAATTTAAGGAGCAGTGTGAGCCTGTTAAGTAATTTTTAAATGAATTGTTTGGGCATTGAATTTTTGATGCAAGACCAACACCAATATTGGCAAAGTAGCTGTTAAATTCATTAGAAATATCACGCTTATTGTTTGATTCCTTTTGAATAATTATTATTCTAGAAGGCATTTTATTAGAATTAGTTATACCTTTACCAATTATTTCCTTCATAATGTCCCATGTCTTTTTTAAGTCTCCATTTAATTTTTGCATTTGGTTGGAATAATATAATATTTTATGTTTTTTTTTAAATTTTTTCAAATAAGTTTTTGTATTGCTTGTAGAGAAATAAGTTGGCTTCGCTTCTATTTTTTAAATATTTTATGTAAAGTTTTTGTTTTTGTTTTGAGGATTTTCTTATTTCTTTTGTTATCCAAGGACAGTTTAAATATTTCGCTTTTATTTCTTTTTCTTGAATTGGAAAATTCTTATTATATTGTAGCATAAATAAATTAATAAATTTAATGTACGCAGAGTTTGTGTTTCCTGAGTTACATTCTCGGTAGACTTTTTGCCAATTTGTTGCCGATAGCAAGTCCTTAAATTTTTTACTAGATGTTTCATCGATAATTCTTTTATAAAATAAGATTTTTGAATTATCAATTTTTCTGGAATCTAGTGATAAAGAAAAGTAGATCGGAAAGTGATCTGAAATGTCTGTTTTTATTATTCCTGATTTTATAAAAGTATCTTGTATTGAGTTTGTTAATATATTATCAATGGCAGTAATAGATTTGGAAGTTACCCTGGTAGGTTTGTTGACAATGGGGAAGACATTAAGCTGAAACATGTTGTCAAAGAAATTTTTTGTAACCGCGTGTTCGTTGTACTTTAAGATATTTATGTTTATATCTCCAATTATGAACAATTTTTTCTGTTCTCTATTTTTTGTTATTAAATATTTCATATAGTTTGAGAATTTACAGGTATCACCATCGGGTGGTCTGTAGCACGTAGAAACTAGAAAGTTTTTTGACGCGTTTGTAACTTCCATTGTGAGGATATTTCCATCAGAGTTTGAGAGATCACTTCTTAACTTAGTGTTTAAATCATTTTGTATATAAATCACAATTCCTCCTCTTTTGTTAACAGATCTTTCTTTAGAAAATATTTTATAGTTTGGAATTTGGAGGTCAGAGTTTTTTTCTGCTGTTTCGTCGGAGCACCAAGTTTCTGTAAGGCAGATCATACTGAAAGTATGTTTGCATTCAAGGAGAAAGTTTTTTAATTTGTCTATATTTATAGGTAAACCTCTGATATTTATATGTATTACCGTAAAATTATTTATAGTGGTTTTAAGTTCAACTTTAAAATTTCTTTAAAATTTCTTTTTTTGTTTTTTCTCTGAATTAAGACACTAATTGTTTTTTCTTCAAAAAAATACACCACTACCAAAAACACGTTGCACTCAGAACTTATCCCCAACATTGGCAAGACTCTACAATTATTACCATTATTAATAACCATTATTACCATCATTAATCACCACATTTTATATAAGTCTAGGAAAAGTTACCATTTAAGAAGCTTTCTTTTCTATAATCACTTTTTTTGCTTTCATTTTAGTATTTCAAAAGAGTTTTTGTATTTTAGTATTTTAAAAGAGTTTTTACAGTTTTTCAATTTTTTATATCTGAAAAAAAAAATTTTTTAAAGTATAATTAACTGGTCTGAAAAGTTAAAATTAAGAGACAAAAAAGGTGTATATATATATATATATATATATATATATA